TAAGCTCTCCTTGAAGAAAATCAGCAGAAGTATTTGTGTGAACAGAAATTAGTGCTTTAAAAAGTAAAGAAAAACTTTGGCACCATTAAATATATGAAAACTGTGGACATAACAATCTTAGCAATATTATATTTGAATACATTACAACTTCTAGAAAACCTGTTCTAAATTTGCAGCAAAGCATCCTGTTATTTAAGCCTAGTTATGAAACAGTCAGAAATGACTTTTAGCATATCTGGAAATATCTGACAGACACAAAAAAAGACAGTAGATAAGAATGGCATGGACCTGGTAGTTAGAAATTAAGTTTGATCTTGTAACTAGTCCAACATTGCAAATGTTTACACTATCCTCTTTCCTTAAAGATATACTTAACAAGTAAATATTAGAGGTCTGAACTGATGGCCACTGAAACAAAAACCTTGTACATGACTTCAATGGTAGCTGCAGGTACTGCTTAGTCCTACCTAAAAGCAAAAGTATCTCCAGTTAGCATAAAGACTATATCCCTCAGCTAAATTTGGTGCAACCTGAAGTACTAAGGACTAAACAGAAAACGTAATGTTAAGTACTTCAAAATGTAGCAACATGATGAAAACATCACCGTGTCTAGAAAGCATTTGTTGGAAGAAGCTGATACCTTTTATATATATATATATATGGGAAATAATTTGAAATAGGTGAACAGAAGCAGTAGTGACCTTGCAACAATATTAGAAGGTACAGTAACATCTTGGAAAAAAAGGAGGATAAATAGTAGCCTTACCAATGTTACCAACAAAATGAGATCTTCTCTAAAATTCATTCAGGTTTCCTTAGTACCCAAAAATTCTAGCTGGAGTCCCTAATGATTTAAAACATTGCTATTTTGTTCCACAGATAAGTCATTTCCCTTTTTTTACAACATTGTTTTTGCCCAAGCTAAAAGTTTTGGAAGAGCTAAAATACTTCATAGTCTCAGCACTTGAGGAAAGAGCTCTGCAGACCACACGTCCCTCAGTTCTCCTAATATTGAGGAAAGAATTCGTCCTTTTTGATCTGCTGGCAATGTGTTCAGCCCTCCAGTCTGAGTCTATGGGAGGCGTTCAGCACCACTTAGACTAAGCAACTCTAATTTTTTTCTATTAATATTCTGTACTTATTTAAGTTGCTAGAAATTTCTGGAAACTTTCTAATTCCCATTAACTTCAGGACATACTTAGCACTAAATCTAGGGGAATAACAACCCACGTAGTATTTTGTCTATGTTATGGAGATAGAAGTTGCTACTTGTATTTGCATAACATAGACAAACACATCATGTAGTTATTATTGGGTGTTCTTATATTCATTTTGATACCATGACAATCCCATAAGCATTTTTGTATAGTTTCTCAAAGTTTTTACACTCAGTTTATGTTGTATTTTGCTTTTGGAAAAGTCAAATTGTCTGGGAGAGCACTTGTTTGTTTTCTGTTGCTTTAAAGCAGGTTTTTATTCAGCAGGTAGGTCTGATGTTGCTATGTGTTTGCTGAGCAAAAAGGCACCATTTTTCAGTAAGAGCAGTGAAAATATTTAATGGAATGTTGGTTTAGACTGCATCTAAAAGTATAGCCTGCTAACGGTGGTTACCTGTAGATCGACCTTCTTCCCACATACATTTGTAGTACAACATCTGCTTAAGTTTATTAAAGTTTGACTTATGTCTATGTCAAGAAATTCAACCTCTACCTTCTCAGTTCAGTCAACCGGTGTTAATGCACAGTAATGCATTCTTTAGTTACATAAATCACATTTTTTCACAGAATCATGATCTCGTTCTCTAAAGAGAATGAAAACTTTTCGTTCACAAAAGAGTTATTCAAGATTTTGTTTTTGTGGCTTTTAAAGGGTTCAGTATTCATTCAGGCTTCATTTATAGCATTCTGTTCAAACCCAACTTGGAAGATGAAAATTAATTTTTCCCTATATCTTTTTTTATGGTATTCACCTCTACAACACCAAGTGTTCCACAAATTATAAGAGTTTGATTTCACAATATGCCATTAAATATATTGAAATTTCACAGAATATCAATATTTTCCACTAATGGTGGATGGCTAAATCTAGGATCATATTTTTAAAGTGTGTATTTTATAACATGTGAATGTGCAACATCATTTCAGATCCGACTTCAGAATCTCGAACAATGAACTTCAAAATGTGTAACAAACATACTAATCCCAAATGAATTTTTACTTTAATTTTCTACTCTGTCTTAAAGACGAAGTTTCTGTGTTCACAAGGAAAATGTCTCTGAACTCAAGTTTGAAGATAACCGTTCTTGAAAGGGAGGTTAAAAGTTCTCTCTGCAAGCAGGTATCTGTTTTCCAGGCGGTTTCTAGCCCAGTGCTTTGGTCATCCAGCTGACATGCTAACCGTGAGCTGGCAGCCTGGAACTTGGTTTCCAAGCTCATGATTTTTTTAAAAAAGACAGGCTCCCAGGATATCCTGCTTGCTTCCAACTTCCATATGAAGCAGCTTGTATTTCCAAGACTTTCACAGTTTGTCTCTCTCCAGCAGCCGAAAAGATAAAGTGGCACAACCACGGAGCACCAGTTTGTGGAAGCCTGAAATTTAGCTGATTCAGAGACAGAGTGCTTATTCTTCCTAGACTCAGTTGTTTCCAAAGCACAGGGTTGCTAAAACTGTTCAGAGAAAAGTATATCACCTGTCTTCATTCAACAAAGGGAAAACCCCTCCATGCTTTTAGCTTTGTTCTATAGCTGAACCTTTTGGCTCAAGTGTGTAAATCATGATAATATTAGCAATATTAATGGAGAGAATGTGGATGGAAGAGAGAAGTTTGGGATGGGCAGCCTGCAGATAAGCAGAAAATGTATAAGCAAATCTAAATTGTTTTAAGTATTACATTTAAATAAGTGTCCTGGTTCTTCATCCTATCTGAAGTTTATATGGTGCCATTTCATCAAACCTTTCCCTTGTGGGCAGGGGAGGGGGGAAAAAAACAACAGCAGCTTTTCATTCACTTTCCACATCTCGATTCATAAGATAAACACAGAGTTCTGAGTTTCATATAGTCTCTTTATCCATTCTTGTATCACTTACCACTATGTCAAGGGTAAATCCTGAAAGCAATGGTTTTTCCCTCCTTGTCTTCTGCTTAAATGAGCTCTTCTACTTGTGCTGAAATGATCTGGAATTCTGCCAGAGCCTTCAGGATAAGCGTATTTCAGCCTGGCAGTGAATTCCAGGGCAAAAGAAGAAACAAATACAGCCACCATGAAGAGAAAGTTATTTATAAAACCAGATACAAAATCCATGAAAACTGGTGTAGCGATCTTTTAACTAAGGCCCATTTGTCCCAGCTGCCATCAGTACAAATATCAAATGTGGTACTTTGTGCATGTATCAAAATTTAAACAAAGGAGAATAAGTAGCATCCTGAGACAGATAATTTCTATGCTTTTCTCTGTCAGTGTTTGCAGATTTAGTATTTCTACCTGGCCGTTTAAAGCATAAGATTAGTGAGAGAATATGCATTTTAAGATGTTTGAGATTAATATATTAAAAAAAAATATTGTTTTGAGAAATACAGTAGCTAAAATGCCCTATTGGTCCATAGATATCATCACCTTTTCTTTCAACCTGTTTTTATCTATTTGTATTTTGCCTGCTCAAAATAAATGCATAAAACAGTTCACCAAGCCCACTTTGGATTAACAATGAAATTCTGTATCATCTAAAACTAGCAATATATTTTCTTACAGGTTGCAATAGAAGCTTGTATTGCAAATTCAGTGAATAATCTAATTCCAAAATACAATCTCGAACACACACACACACACACACACACACACACATTCCTATGTATACATACATATGCGTGCATTTATATACCTACACACATGTCTGTAGAGATACATATTTATAGCTTTCTGTAGATATGGACATGAATAACTAGACCAATGCATGTAGTAGCTCTTTTTAAAAAATGAATAAAAGCTGTATCAATGTATCTTGTGACCTTCTCCGTAGAAACTAGAATGGCTGGGAGGCATTCAGATGAGTTATCATTTAAGCAACTAAAAAAGAATATATAATCTATGCTCAAAGGATTAATTCAAACCATGTAGTTATTATGGGCTCCATTGTCTTTCAAGAAAAGAAGGGGGTTCTATCAAGAATTAACACCATCTAAAATAATCTCCCTTTGTTTAAATTAAAAAATGAACCAAGAGAATGGATCATTGCTTAATTTTCCACTTGGGAGGCAGAGAAAAATGTGGCATCACTTGTCTCTGGGAACCGTCTTGGTCACTGCCCAGCATCACTCCTTTTACCGAAAAGTGTGTCTCTCACTTTAGGAAAGAAAACTAAGCTTGTGTTCAGCTAGAGTCTTAGAAATTTTTACTTAAAATTCCAAAGATGCTAATTCCCAAAATATGAATTGCAATGGTTTAATGAAGTGCTAGCCAAGAGATTACTAAGAGTCACTTTAAGTCATGATAGTGAGCTTGAAATACAAAAGGGAAAAAAGATTTTGATTTTGGGACTGGAAAAATTAAGGGGTCGTATAAGGAAAGAGAATTAAGATAAATATGAAAGGTAAATGTTTTGAAATTTACTAGTAATCATATTATTTCTTCTGATTTTTCAAGACTGTCTATTCAAAATCAAAGCAAGGCTTAAAGTTATGAATATTTGAATGTGATATAAATTCTGAGTCTGTGTGATTAAAAGAATCCAAATCAATGAGGTGATAAAAATATTAGGTCATGGTAATTAAACTCAAAGACAGTTTTCTTTTAAAGGTGCATCTTTAAGTTAAGCTACTTCCCTTTAGATTAAAAATAAAGTGTCTTATTTCTGATATGTGACAGTGAATTTTGATTTAGAAAGGTGGAACTAATTACATTTAAAGTGTTCCACTAAGGCTGGTCATTAATATATTGAGAGCAGAAGTGACAGAAAAGAGCAAAATTAAAACTAATACTTGCCTTTATGTATTTATTTTACAGGAAATGTGTTTGTTGTAAGCCTGGCAGTTGCAGACTTGGTCGTAGCGATCTACCCATATCCACTGGTCCTCACATCTGTATTTCACAATGGATGGAATCTGGGATACCTTCACTGCCAGATTAGTGGCTTCTTGATGGGCCTAAGTGTCATCGGATCAATCTTCAATATTACAGGCATCGCCATCAATCGGTACTGCTATATCTGCCACAGTCTCAAATACGACAAGCTGTACAGCGACAAGAATTCATTGTGCTATGTTGCTCTTATCTGGGTCCTAACATTTGTCGCTATCGTGCCCAACCTGTTTGTGGGATCGCTACAGTATGACCCCAGGATTTACTCATGTACATTTGCACAATCCGTGAGCTCAGCGTATACAATAGCAGTTGTGTTTTTCCATTTCCTGCTTCCCATAGCCATAGTTACTTTCTGTTACTTGAGAATATGGATCCTCGTTATTCAGGTAAGGCGAAGGGTTAAACCAGATAACAACCCCAGACTGAAACCACATGACTTCAGAAACTTTGTGACCATGTTTGTGGTATTTGTACTGTTTGCAGTCTGCTGGGCTCCTTTGAACTTTATAGGCCTTGCTGTGGCTGTCAACCCAGAAACTATAATCCCGAGGATTCCAGAGTGGCTGTTCGTATCAAGTTATTACATGGCATATTTCAACAGCTGCCTTAATGCTATCATATATGGACTCCTTAACCAGAACTTCAGAAGAGAATACAAGAGAATTATTGTCGCTTTTTGTACAGCAAAAGTTTTTTTCCAGGATAGTTCTAACGATGCGGGAGACAGGATGAAAAGTAAACCTTCTCCCTTGATCACGAACAACAATCAAGTGAAGGTGGACTCTGTCTGAAAATGGCCATCTTCTTATTGTCACTCAACAGCATCCAAATAAAGTATCTGTTTTGTTAGACTTACTATTAAATATTAGTGAAATATCTCTTCTACACTGAAAGCACTTTGATCAAATTCTTGCATGGTATTTGGGAACTCAAGTTACAGAGCCTTGACATACAGATCCTATTATACAATGGTATATCTCATATAACAGCACAATGATATCCTTGAGGGAATTGCAAAATATATGCATGGATAATTTTTTTTTTTTTTCCTTAAATGGAGATAAACAACTAGAAAGAGATTGAAACAGAAGTATCCACATTGCCTGGCTCAATAAAAGAAATCTCAAAACTGTTTCTACCACTTTCTGCCTGCTTCTTCTGGCCAGGTTATGGCCTCTGAGAACTTCTTTTAAAACATGAAATCAGACTATTATGATATATATTAGAAAATGTGAAGTGAGAAATAGAGGCAATTGAAAATTCATTAGGTTTTTTGATAAGTACCTCTAACCTATATTGCTTTGCTCCTACCATGGACACAATTACTTATTTTTTTGAGATTAAACCTCACCAGCCCTCCTGGGAAAGGCATTCCCAATTGACTTCTTAATTTTAAAATAGCTTTTAGAAGGAGAAATATACCTGACTGATTATCTTCCAAGCTACAAGGGCAGGAGGACAAACAGCAAGGAAAGAAAAGAGCCATGATTCATCAGCTCAAGCCGTTTGGGCATGAAAAAAAGGTGTAGGAGGGGTGGGAAGAGAAATATAAACCACCATTCTTTCTGAAGAGACAGTAATTCACAAAATCGGGACGTGGCCCAGAGGAGTTTCTGGGGAAACACCTCCTAGAAACATAAGTGAGGAAGGATCGTTCTCACTTCTGTGCAGCATAGAAGAACTAAGCCTCTGTGAGAAGCAGATAATGCATTTAAGAGGAGCGGTGGGTGAGGATGACAGTTTTGTCTGGTTAGCGGAATCTTAACCTCATGAAACCCTGGGAAATGAGAAATATTCACAGGATGAGCATGTAACACCTTTCTCAACTTGATCTCCTGAGAATAGCCTGAGACTATAGGTTATTTTGCATTCTGCCACAGACAAGCTTTTCAAAATAATAATTAGATTTTACCACAATGATGAACATAGTGTAATAAACCAGAACAATTAGACACCTTTAAATAATAGAAAAAAGAAGATGCTACTTATGACCCTGGTACAAGGAGGAACACCTGACTCTCAGGACAGGACCTGCTACGTGGACTTTCCACAGACAGCAGGCACCTCTTCAGTGAGAGGAAGCATACTGTGAAGTGAGGAAGAATAGCTAGACAGACTGTCTCCTGCAACAATGAATCTCTGTTTATAATGAAGTCCTCTGGTGGAGAAAAGCAGTTTGCAACAATAGGATTCACCTTCAAGTTGACCTTAAAAAGAAGGAGCATTTAGATCTGGAAACACGTTCCAACTGTTATACCTTTTAATGCTTAAGTGTTCATACCTACACTGATGTTTAAGTACACTTGAGCTTTTCCAAGCCAATTCCAGTCATTTCAACTGGACTAAGAGTTTCCGGATAGCCATCAGACTTCTTTTAATCTATATTAAAACGTGGACTTTACCTAAACAGTTCATTTAAATTATTACTTGCTGTACTGGAGATTTTCTTGAGCTTATATGTCTTAAAAACAGTCACTCTATGTCATTTAATTCCTTAAACTGCATAGAAATCTAACAGCATTTCATCTTTCTTAGATCATATATTAATTTACCCTTGACTTAATAATGAACTAAAAGGGAAGAGATTCGTATTTACTTGAAAACCCCACTGTCACTTCGTCAACTGACCAATCTCTTACCTTAAAAATAGGTGCCTCATGTCAAGTTGACAATGGAACTAACGAATAATATTGTAAAACCCTGGAGATGAACTAGCAAGTCAATGCATTGCCGAGGTGCTTGACTCATCTTTGTTTACATTTGCCAGTCAGAACCACTGTGTAAATAACCAGCTCTCTTCTATTGTGGTATCATCATATGATGCGATATGATAGAACACGATTAACAGCATAAAGTATATCACAGCTTTCTTCACTGTGATTTCATCCTTGGAGGATGCTTAGCTCTGTAATTTTATTGCTTTGTGTGTAGTGATTTCAGAATAGCAAGGGAGGCATGACCACCTTATAAGAAAAGAAGTTTTCATATAAGAAAAAACACTATTTAAATTCTTACAAAACTTGCCTTATTTAAAGCATATTTTCAATGAAAATAATGTCTTATGATGCATCTAATAAAGTAGCGTAAAGATAGCTTAATCATTAGTAAATTGAGAATTCTCAAAGATCTTTCACTTGCCATTTCCAACAGAAAATGTACATGTTTATCATGTCTACATATTTATAAGCCGACTCAAGATACTGTATCCAATATTGTGGGTTATCTGAGGAATTAAAGTCCCCTGTAATTCACAAGTGCTAAAATATATTTTTGATGATAGTGAAAATGGTTTGCTATATGCAATAAAATGTATTATACCAAAGGTATATATTTTATTGAATAGGCCTGTAATACAACTGGACAGCATTTTTCAGACCTGATATTTTGAAATATTTGTATTAAATCTTAATCACAGAAATGTGCATGTTGGTGATGTTATGAGCTGCTAAATATAGCAATAATTTTAAGAAATTAATCTCTTGTTCTTCTTTGGGGGGAGGGAAGAGTGTTAGTTTTTAGAATTTAGTTTAAATTTATATGGATGAAAAATTTGAGAAATATCTGCTGCCCTCTTCCAATTAATTTTGCATTTACCCTCATTTTGAAGTCCATTTTAGTTAAGGTTTGCTAAACAAATCATTGCAAAAGTGAAAGAATAATGAAGTTTAACTCTGTAGCAATGATTTCTTTTAATCATTTTATGTTGCTTCAAAGGAGTCTAAGCGATTCATGTAAGACAATGAACAGCCTCGTCAGCTGCTTATTGACAATGAGCACAACAATGTAAGTCAGCACCTCACAAGATCAGACTTTATGGTCAATATAAAAATGACCGATGAAAATAATAGTGATTTCTGTCCATGTTAAGGAGATGGAATTAGACACTTAACCAGTATTTGTTGCTTCTCTGCAAATGGATGAGCCATGACATGGTTTTTACATTCCAAGTCACTAAATTTTCCCCTGTATGAAAGGCTACCATAGTACAAATACATTATTTAGAGTTCTATCTGGAAGTTTTAGGCAGTGCACTTGGCCTATAGCAGTCATCAGCCCTGGATGGATTTAATTCGAAAACATGGGTCTCAGCAGTCTACCACACCTGCAGGGACCCATCCCTTTCCTACGTCCTCTCCATGCCTGGTCTGAGCCCCAGTGAAGCCAGAGGACCCCTGTAAAGGAGCAGTGAACCCCTTGTATGTAACACGCTGAAGACTTATAACCTAATTGACCTTGATCTTATCCTACAAGAATTTCTTTCCTATATCACAATCTTGATTATGTTGACAATCCGAATATGATCTTACACATCTTGAACCCTTACAGATTTTACTGGTGGTCATCTTCATTGCAAACTTCATGTTAACAAGGAAGTCTGGCATTATTTCATATTTACCAGCAAAGAGAATATTAATGAATATATTAATACCAATTAACAGGGTATTTATTGTAGTTAAACTGCAACTGTATGCAACAATGTAATTTGATTTTGAATAGTCTTCACTTAAGACTGCTTTGCACATTTTCTTCTTCCACTGGGCTAGTGGAAGTGCATAGATATGAAGCAAATATGTGTTATTTCAGTAGGCATAATATATAGCAATGATTTTACTATTTTTCTTTTTCTTCTTATTTATTTTAGAAGGTAAGTCTTTGAATCATCCATAATAAACATACTATTGTAATCAATCTGTATTGCAGTGTAAAGCGCATCCTTCTATAATCAGTTAATATCACACCTTTTTTTTCTTGTGGACCACTTTTGAAATGGTATCATGTCAAATCTGATTAATTATGACATACTGAAGGTAACTGTAATTTCCCTTTAAATGCAATGAAAAAACAATCATAAAATCATCTCCTTAAAATTATACAAGTACATAAGTATATGTGGTCACCAAATTTAAAATGGAATCTCAGAAACTCTTCTATTTGAACTTCTTGTTCAGAAACTGTAGTAATACAGATGGACTGTTATTCTTTAATTCTCTTCTAATAACTGCACTTTCTAAGTATCATTAATATGGTTTACAAATAATTAAGAACTACAAATGTCTGTCATCATGTCACTGAGGCTTGGGAAATCACACATGCTAAAGCCAAATTTCTTCGAAGAAAAAATATTCAAGTAGTGGCCTGGCTTATAGCCCATGTACTGTATGTCCAATTTTTGCCTGTGTTAAGTCAGAATTCCATTATGTGGTTTTATGAATTTACTCATTAAAAATATTATTCCTACCTCAAATATGTGTCTGAGAGATTGCAATAAAGAACAGAGTGGGAAAGACTCATAGTATAAGTCAACAGCCTTAGAATTTTTAACAGAAAAGAAAGTAAATTCAGCAAAGAAGTACCTATATTAATAATGCTCACAGAAAATATTTTCCCAATTCAATAAATACTTATCACTCCAACCATCCCTATTACCAAACACTGACCAAAGTATGCATATTTTGAGAAGCATGTTATTCATAAATGTATATGCCGATTATTCAGAAAGTTACAACCAAACGTATTTGAGACACAATGTCTCATTTTTAGCTCACATAAACCAGCACAGCTTCACTGATTCATGCCATCTGAGAATTTTGGCATATTAGATTTCATAAATCCAAAAATTAGCTCTTTTACACTATTACACAAGCAATATATGTTTCATTTCTACGGAACTCATCCATTGTCAGCTGTCCAGGTTGTGGGAGAATGTGAATTTGACTGCTAAATATCTGCAAAATTAACCTCATCCAGCCAAACTCTCTCTGTGATTTGTCATTTTTATAAGTAAATATAT